TTGTTATGCCTAATTGGAAAAGATAAAAAGAATACAGTGGTGCCTCGCTTAGCGAGTGCTTCGCTATGCGATGAATTCGCATAGCGAGGGGGTCCGGGCCATTGCTGGAGCGTTCGCTCAGCGATGGCCCCTATGGGGATTTTTCGCTTTGCGATGATCGCTAAGCGATTCGCTTAGCGATCTTCGCAAATCGAAGCGGGGGAGAACAGCTGATCGGCGGTTCCAAAATGGCCGCCGGAAGGTCCACGCCGCATTTTCGCGCCCTGCCCTCACTTACCGAGGGCGCAAAAATGGCGGCGCTATGGAAGAAACATCGCTTAACAGTGAGTTTTCAAGCCATAGGAACGCATTGAACGAAGTTCAATGCGTTTCTATGGCTTTTTTAGTCCCGTTTAGCGATGTTTTCACATAGCGAAGGTTAATCCGGAACGGATTAACCTCGCTATGCAAGGCACCACTGTAACTCTAGGCCACTGTCACAAGCCACTCTCAAGCCTTTACCCATCCAGGCCTCCAAGAGTGCTCACTACCTCCCTTCAAGACTGCTGCCACCAACCTATCCTTAAAATCAGAAGGACAAGGGTTTCTTTCAAACAAAATAAAGTGTTTATTGATTACACAAAATAAAAGGAGTAAATCACAGGTATAAAATCAATTAGTCAATCACTGTTTATAAGACACTAGCTCACACAGACTTTTCCCTCACTGACAGGCTCTTTCTCACTCTCTATCAATCTCTCTAATCACTCATCTCTCAATCTGCTCTCCTCTCACACATCACACACCTTATATAACCCAGCTCCTCCCACTTCTGCACCACCCTCTGTCCTCTCATTGGCTGAAGTTCCCCTGCCCAGCTGTGATGGACAGGTGAGAGCAGAGCTGAATGCCACAGCCACCAAGTTAATTCCTACTTACAGCAATCCACCCAAGGTTTTCCAGGTGTAAAGTGCTCGGAAATTGTTCAGCAGCCCCGCTTTCAGGCATCCGCCTTGCCCCAAGGCAAAATAAAATATCTGAGACAAAGCACTTTAAGTAAGGCTGAGGATAAAATACCCCATACTAGAAATATTTGTTTGAATCCCAAGGCTACCTCATATCAGTGTATTTGTAGGTATCCAGAGACTTTGAGAATCAAAGTTGGAAAAGTCCTTGCGCATCATCTACTCCAAACCCCTGCAGAATGCAAGATTTACAATAAACATCCAGATTCAGCACACATACATTCAGTGGAAGAAACCAAACCAATCACATCCTAAACCAATTTGTTCCACGCTTGAACACCTCTTACAATTAACAATGTTCATCAAATGTTTAGCTGAAATTTGTTCTAGTTTCCACCCACTAGTTCTAGCTCTGCCCTCTCTTGCAACAGAGACCACGTTCGCTCCATTTTCTGCATGACGGCCTTTCAGAGACAGAAGTTACTATTTTTAACACATTAGAGCAACATCTCTTATCATTAGATACCCTAATTTGTTTGGGGGGTGGATTCAGCATTGTAAACAATTAACCTGGATTTAATTTAATACTATTCAGACTACAACAAATATTCTAATTCATTTTACACTTATTAGATCATCTAAGATTCACTTGGCTGCACTCTGCATACATATAACATGAGGAATTTGTGTGCACTATTAGGCCAAAAGATAAAATTGCTCCAGACAGATGTGATGCACAGGCAACAGTTACATCTACAGGCCTTGCCCAGCCTGCTTTTAGTTTGCAATTAAACAAGGTTGGCATGTTTTACTTTGCCACATTTTATTCTATTCCCTCTCTTTATCATCCTTATCTATGCTTATAGATGTTCGTATTAATTCATGAGGTAAAGGAGTCCCTTTCTTCTACAGGGCTTCATATTTCTGAGGTATTCTTCCCTTCTCAGAACGGTGAATCCTTGAAGACATCACTTACAGATCTTTCCCTTTTGTGTCATCTTTTGACATTTCATTCACAATGTATTTAAAAGCTTTAATTAACAGAGTTTGAAACTTGATACTATCTTATCTTTTCCTGAATAGACAGGTCTAAAAGCACTAACCCATGATGAATGATACCACATTTTATAGCTGAAGCTGGGAAACTCAAAACCATCCTAATGATAGCTGTAAAGTGATATCAAGGGAGCTTCTGAGATCACCACATCCCCCCACCCCATTTTCCTGAGTACCTTGCTAGTAATAACAGAGTGAGATGAAATATACACAGGAGTCTCCATTGGGATGACAGGGTAGAAAGGCATGTAGTATTCTCTTTCCTGTAATTTTCTTATATCTAGCACAATAGTTTCCCTTACATTTTGCTTCAGCACAAATTTAAAGTTAATGATTTTGTATAGCAGACCACTTACCTCATCCCTTTTTTAAAATATAACTGGTAGTGAAAGCTAAATCCCATAAAAATATTTAGAAATTGTTGGAAATCATTACCTGATCTCTTCCAGGTGGATTTGGAGCAAATGCTAAAAACAATAAAACGTATTGTCATTTGGAAAGTTTATTAAACTATATAAACAGAAGGAAGAAAAAACAAGTTATTTTCTTTGGTGGTAGAATTAGAGCGCTCTAGTCCGTGGTACTACAAGCTGTAGGACACCTTGAGGACCTTCCTAACCTTTTGTAGATACTGTGCACAGTTCAGAACAACCTCCTTCAGTGGTAAACATGCACTGAGTATTTGGAAAAAGCATGAAATTAAAATTGCCATATATTCAATTATGCTGTTCCCCCAAATAGTTAATTAGTCCTAGCTGGTGTGTTTTCAGATCTGGTGGGCAGGAGTAGGGAAATAAAGGTATAAACAAACAAGGATGGTAATGTAATGAATGGCCTGACATTTAATAATTTTTTTAATTCTCAATGCGACAGAGACTTTGTGGTGCTACAGGAGGCATGTAGATGCAATTTACCACAGATTATGGAATTAAGATTTGGTGACTTCTCTATAAAGTGGAACTCACTGGTTTTCGGATTATTTTTTCACGTTTTTAGACATCGTCTTCATAAAGGAAAACTTACTTTATGGCTAGTTCTCTAGGCCAGAGGTCCCCAACTCCATCTGTGGCCCGGTACTGATCTGTGGCCTGAGCTGGATTCGGCCATGGAGACAGACCTCCCCCCACCCCCGCATGCACCCCCTGCACATCCCCTTTGTACATGTGCATGTGCACCTGCAAGAGCACTCCACACCTCTTCATGCACGCGCACGAGTGCCCCCAAGTGCCGCGTTGCCCTTCACGCATGCGCACGAGCACACATGCGCCCTTCTGCTCCTTTGCACGTGCGCAGAAGCACACCTGCACCCACGCGAGAGAGCGTCTGCTCCTTCATGCATGCACACGAGCACACGGGGTGCCCTGCCTTCCCCAACCAATCTGCGGGTTTAAAAAAGTTGGGGACCGCTGCATGTAGGCCATGATGGCTAGGCAGGATGGGACTTGGCAGTTCATGAAATCTACAAAATGCCACATTTTCAAAGACATATCAAGGTCAAAAGTATGACTCTCATACTTTATACCGTTTCCCCTAGTATGATTTTTCAGGATGGTCGTAATATAAGCCCTAACCCCAAAATATGCCCGTTCAGTTAAACCCCGCCCTCCACCAAAGACTCATTGTGCAGAAACCAGAAGATGGCATGACTGTATTTGATTAAATGTAGGTTGCTGTACATGAAAAAATAAAATATTCAATGCATTTTTGGAGCAAAAAAATAATATAAGACCCTGTCTTATTTTTGGGGAAACACGGCAGTACCCTTTGGAAGTGGTGGTCTGTTCCAGCTGTTCATCCTTGAAAAGGTTAATTCCAGTGTGAAATCAGACAATCCCAACCAATCATATCAAAGTTCATCAGGGTAAAAGTTGCTTTACTTTGGAATGATTCCAGGCAACATCAGCTTGCCTAGTTCTACAAGTTCTATTCATCTACATTGCTTCTCTGCACAAAAAAATCCAAATGTTCGTGAAAATATGTAATGTTTTAGAAGTCACAGGTATGTTACTTTAAAAAACATTCTTACAGCTATGAACAAAGCTGTAGGTACAAATGCTTAAATACATGAAAACTGGACTTAAGTTTCAGGCAAACACTTAAATCAGGAAAATATATTTCAATTATATGAGTTTAGCAATAAGTTTCAGACAAAAAATAGATTATATTACAATCCAAAAATACAGCTCATAGGCATGTATCTTCAAAAAGTAAAAATCTGTAAAGGCAGACCTACACATTTTGGCATATTCAGACATTAAGATTATTTAGCAATGCTTTCACACAGCAAAGCTGGCCAGACCCACAAGAAATGCAGAGAATGGTCATTTCCTAGTTTGTTCTACTCAACCTGTTCCATCAGTCCCCCTCCATTGAGCACTCTTTATACAGTGGTGCCTCGCATAGTGATCGCTCCGTTTAGCGACGAAATCGCTTTGCAATGCATTTTTTGCAATCGCTTTGCAATGTTCCCTATGGGGGAATTTCGCTTTGCGATGATCGGTTCCCTGCTTGGGGAACCGATCATCACAAAGCAACCATTTTCGCGCAGCTGATAGGCGGTTTCAAAATGGCTGCCAGGAAAAAACCAGGGCCGCTGTGTTTAGGGACAGATTCCTCGCTTAAGAGGCAGCAAAAATGGCCGCGCTATGGAGGACCTTCGCTGAACAGTGAGTTTTAAGCCCATAGGAACGCATTAATCAGGTTTTAATGCGTTTCTATGGGCTTTTTAAAATCGCATTGCGACGTTTTTGTTCTGCGGCGATTTTTGCGGAACGAATTAACATCGCAATGGGAGGCACCACTATATCTGCTGCTCTCTATCAGCAACGTGGTGTAATATAGAGCAATCACTGACATATGCACTTCCTGCATTTAGAAGTGTATATGGGGTTCTTTTACACAGAACATTGCTTCTCTACCAAGAGGGTTGATTCATAAAATTAAAAGTATGAATGTAAATAAAGAACAATTAATAATAAATAATTACTATAGGTAAATAACTAAAATACAGTATTTAATTTGGTAAAAAAACTTGTTATTCTACACTTTTCATGTCTCTTCATAGCGCAGATCAGAATCAAGCTCAACAGGGTATTCTATCCCCATTGATTCTGCAAGTCTTTTCCCTTCCGTTGGGCTTTTGCAATTTTATTGTTTCGCTTTTGTTCATTTATTTTATTCTATTATTTTGCTAGATACTTTTATCAAAGTTCTGGACAGCTGGGTTTGAATTACCAGGAATACAAAACATAAAACACTAGAACACCTCCTCCAGTATGAACCAGATTAGGAACTTTGCTTATCTTCTGAGTGTCTTCTTTTTCCACCACTCTCGGTGAAGGTTAGGTTGGTGGAGACAAATTGGCTTCCTCTCTCATTGCACCTGGACTATGGAAGAACTTCCACATTTAAGTGCATCTGGCCTTATCAGCTGTCCGCTTTTGAAGTTCTTTCATTCCAATAAACATCTTCTTCACACAATTAATTATAACTTTCACCTATAGGACTTTTATGGGCTTCGGCCTTTTTTCTTTTTTTCTTTCTTTCTTTTTTTTTGGTCACTGCTATTTTACAGAGTATTCTCACTTTCTTTTAAACTGTTGTGTTGTGTTGTGTTGACTGATACGAGTCACTGTAAGCTTGCTGGTATCTGCTTCGCACAGAAAGACAGATGATATATTTCTTATGATAAAGAAACAATAAATAAGCTTGTGGCTTCTGCAATAGAAGTTCCACCCAGAACACCTGAGACACAGCTTGTTTCAAAGGAGATCAGACTGTTGCGGAGCAGAACACTGAAGAATCTCAGATGTTTTCTGCAAAATTCTTAGCTCTTCTATATGCAATGCCTCTACCAGAGTCAGCTGGTTTACAAGATGTGCATAGTCACTTTTTAAAAGAGAAATCTGAAAAATCAACAATAAGAAAATATTATTAAAATCCCCATAATAAAATATTTATTATTAATAAAATATTATTAAAATCACTCTAATGTTTATGCAAATTAACATAAGGACCTTGTGCTTAGAACAATTAAAAAATCAGGTCACCAACAACTCAATATCTTGTATAAATTACGTAAATTAATGAAATATGCCTGCTTGTCTCATTTCCTATGACTTATCAGCTGACAGCCAGTAGTAAGTCCCAACTAGGATATACCCAATGAATCTGTGGGGATTTGGTACATCAACTTCTCCATATGTTCCACTGATTCAATAGGTATCTATTGAATCTGTGGGAACCCAGGGAATCCTAGGGAACCCCTTCATCCTAGCAAGACTTCAAGACCTATAGAATAAAGCAGGGAACAATTTAAATCCAGAAAATCATCTTCACCAATCTCAGTGGCTGAACAGGCACTGGTGGCGGTGACTTTCCAACTTTAATTCATTCCAATCTTGTGCAGCTCTCAGAGATGAAGAGGATCCTTTGGGATCCTTGGAGCCTGTCATCAGAGGGAGGGGAAATAGGAGTCTTTTCATTCTCCTGAAATGGCCATGGCATGGATACAGGTGGATGTCACTGAAGTTGCATGGCATAACTTGCAACATAGGATTTCCAGCCATGGTCTTATGCTACACACCCAGACAGTAAAATATGGAACCAGGCTCTCAATCACCAACTGAAAAATACTGCACAGTTAAGCAAGATATAACCGCTGGCTGATGAACCCTCAAAGTCTGGAAAAAAGGTGGAGACAGGTTCTTTAATGACTGTCACTCTAGGATATGGCAGGAGGGAGCCGATTTTTTTCCTATAGATCCATTTTTCCTTCATTTCTCCTCTGATTCATAGATGGCCCTAGACGTATCTGCCAAAATAACAACTGCCACCCAGCACCCATAAGTGGATATGAAACTTTCACAAGCCCTTCTGAGATGAGGTGAGGATCTCACACATGGAGCAGGTTGCATAAACACTGACATTGCCCATTTTTACCACACCCCTCAGAATCCCACTAATTTGGGTGATAAAACAAACATATTAGTCATATAGTTACCAAAAGGAAACATCATCTGCTTTACAACCCTAGCAAAAATACCACAGTGGCCACTTTGACTGACTGCACACCAGGTCCTGATAAAGAGTAGACGGCAGAGTATACCACCTCTGCCTCCAATCTTTGTGACAAAGGAGGCAGAGCAACGAACCAACATTTATGACTTCCTCACTATTACAGAGCAAAGACTTCTCAAAACCAACAGAGCCCTTTCCTTATTCAAGACTGCTTACAGTGGCTGGAATTGAAGCTGCTATGAGAGATACCAGCTCAGCAGTCTTCCTGTTTACAGGCCATCTTAATGTGTTTCATGCCTAATGTTTTAAAGGCAAGATTGCTGGATTTTATGTGCACATTTGGTTTCAATACACTGCAATCTTCTCTTGAATCTCATGCAACACTACTAAAGAAAAAAAAAACACAACCAAATAAATACCTTCTGAAGGGTGTGTTGAGTTTCCCCAATCAATGACAAACATATCTCCATGGCAAGATCCAAGCTCTTCCTTTCATTCCTCTCTGAAATCACATCCCCAAGTAACACTTTCTTCCAGGAAGTACTAGAACCAAGGAATTTGAGAACACACGTTTATACCTGTCTCACTTCTAAGTCCCAACAAAGCTGATTTCTGCTTGCTGTTTCACGCAAACATCTGAAACTTACAACTGATTGGCTTCAAGACTTAAAAGTTTCAGAGCTGTAAGAAGCTTCCAAGAGGGACCATCCCAACCAAATGTCAGATCACTAGTGATGAAAAACAGAAAATCATTTTTTAAAAAAAAATCTAAATCCAACAATTATTTACTAAATTAAAAAACAAAAAATAAATAGAACTTGGAAAGTTGGCTTCCCCACCGCCTTTGACAACTCCTATTGGTCATGCTGGCCAGAGGAAGGGTAGTTTTAAAAAGCAACTCTTTCAAGCCCTTTATTATACTGAAAGCCACTTATCCAAGCCTCTTTTATTCAAAGCCAAGCAGGCTTCAGTTTTATGGGAACTACTCTAATCATGGAGACCTATGAACCAGAATAAAATATCTCTGAGACCAGAGGCTTGCTTTCAGATTCAGAACTGGCCTAAATTCACAATCCTTCCACCTAAAAACCTGCTCCTGATTACACCACACAGCAATGTCTTTATTTCAGTGGTGGCGGCCAAGAGGTATTATTTTGCTGAGCAACACGGGATCAAACTCTGATCCATTTACTGCAGTCCCTATGATTTCACTTCAAAGAAAACTAAGACTTCAAAATGAAATAGCATTTCTGCTCAAAATTTTGGAACAAGATCTGTCTTCGTGGCCCAGTCTGGCTCAGGCCATAGATTGGCACCAGTCCACGGACCGGGGGGGGGTGTTGATGACCTCTGCCTTAGCACACTAAATTGCACTAGAATAGGCCAAACGAAACAATGAGGATTTGGTGAGTCAACTACTCCATTATTTCCATTGATTCAAATAGACCTTCTCTAGTTGCTACTTGCTATACTAAAGTAAGCTGCAAATAGAGTAGGCCTATTTGAATCAATGGATTTGACTCATCAAACCCCCATTGGTCCAGTGGACCTACTCTAGTACAACTTATTACACTAAGCAAGAGGATTTCAGCCAATGTATGCAACTGCACATTATCTGAGCAAGATTGGAAAAGTTACTTTTCAAGATCAGAAGTCCATGCTGGCTACAAGATTCTGGGACACACAGTCCCCCAAAAGTAGATTTTCCAAGTTCTACTGTGTCAACATAAATCAACATACCCCCCTGCTTAGGATATCCTATAGGCATGGATTTGTTCTTGCAGTAAGCGTCATGAAGTTAAGGCATGCTGTTTATATACTGCCCCATAGCACTTAAAGCACCCTCTGGGCAGTTTACAATTGAATTATGCAGGTTACACGATGGTGGCCCCCCAGTAATCTGGGTATTCATTTTACCAACCTCAGAAGGATGGACTGAACCCCAGGTCGTGAGCAGTTTTGGCTGCAGTACAGCAGTTTAATCACTGCGCCACGAGGCTCTTTGTAAGGTCCTCTGACCAGTCATATTCTCTTTACAGAAGCCACAAATACTATATGAAATAGGAAAAAACCAAAAATAGTACAATAAGAGTCTAAAAGTTATAGGAAAACCTCCCAGCACAGAGGAAATCTCAAGCTGAAGAACCCAAGCCCCATTTAAGCTTATGTGCAACTTACTGTAAAAGTTTGTGCTCTTGTAAAATGGAAAGCTTCCTATGCCTCTGTTTGTCTTCTGGAAAGGCATATTTAAGCAAAGTAGCTAAAGAGAACAGAAATGTTTAAAAACAAACAACAGATGAGGGCTACGTGATCTCCAGATGCTATTGGATTGCAACTCCCATCAGCCCTAATCAATGGATGAATTCCAACAATATTCAGACAACTACTAAGTACAGTACTCACACCCCACCCCTGAAAAATAATCCAAATCAAAGGTCTACGCGCACAGTCCTAAGCATCCAATTACTTTATCCGCTGTCAGAATCAAACAGTAAACAACAGCCTTACCTGCCCCGACATGAACAGTGCTGTGTGGATTATGGCGGGCAACAAAACCATATTCCAGGAGCAGACGTTGATTGTCATGGGGGCCGTAGCAAATGAATACTTCTCCGTATTTTTTACAGCCTGAAAGTGTTACTATTTCATAACACTTTGTCTTTTCATTAAATGCAGCTTTCACCTGAGGAAATGCAGACAGTTACAAACTGACTGTGGAGAAAAGTCAGAGAGGGGGGGAAAATTCAAATTATCAGAAAACTACTCTTGTTCCACCAGTTTACCAACCACACACTTGCAGCTTGATGCACTATGTTCACAAAACCAGTAAACAGAGAAGCACTAGAAGTAGGCGTGTGCTATTATGTCCAAGGAAGTATACGTTCTTCTGATTACAGTCCTCAGACCATTCACTACAACTGACCCAGATTTCCTCTATTGTTCTAGACTGCCGCTCAAGTATTTTATTTTAAAATATCACTCACGCAAGGCTTCATAATAAGCCATTTTATAAAAGCGAATTTCAATATAACTGACAGAGCAAATTTCCATCTCTGTACCACATAGTATAAAAGCCTCCTTCCTGTATTACTTGTGTAAATGCCACCATAAACTAAAGGCAGTGA